CTGTATCTTCAGCCAAGACAAGGAGAGGGGCTGACTGTGGAACAGACCAACCATTCTTCATATGCAATTTCAAGCTGAAGCTGAAGAAAATTAAAACTTGACCACTAGAATTAATACATAACCTTGATTATATCCCACATGAATTTAGAGACCATCTGAAAAATGGATTTGATGCATTTAATTATAATGACTGAAAAGTGGAAGAATTGTGAGATGACGTCAAGAACATCATCCATGAAGAAAGCAAAAGATCAAGAAGAAGATAAGAAAGGAAGAAAAGACCAAAATGGATGTCAGTAGAGACTTGTCCTTGAATGGAAATGGACATGAAATGAGGGACGTCATTGCTGATGTCAGATGGATCTTGGCTGAGAGGAAAAAAAAAAAAAAAAAAAAAGATCTTTCCTTGTGTTTTATTTGCTTTGTAAAATATTTCCACTTTGTGGATAGTAACAAATTATGCATAACATTGAGAAGAATATGTTGGAGACCAAGAAAAAGACTCCCAAAAGAACATGACTTCAAGGCACATGTTGTAATTACTGTTAAGAGATGCATGGTTGAATGATTGCTTTGAGCGATGGCAAGGACTTACCTGTGATTGAATGAATGAATGCTTGACTTTTGAGCTTTGTGTTCCTGGGGTGGAACGTTGCCCCAACAGAATGATTGCTAAGCTGTCTTCCTGGAATAATGTTTTGCCCAAAGAATAGTATACTTTAGAAACCATTCTTTAAAATCATGTACCTTAACAATCGTATTATGTTTCAGAATGTGTTATTTTAGTGATTATTTGCTAACCTTGCAAGAGATGTTAACCTAATTAATTATCCAATACATTTGGATATGGGAAAATGCCTTTGGGTAAGGGAAAGAGTAAAACTTTCACTTTTCATTTATAGCTGATTGTTATAAGGAGATATTATATTTTACTGTAAAAGAATATTTGATTGTATACTTGATTGAATACTTGATTGTTTTAGAGAAATATCAAAGAATAATGATGTAATCGTATACTTATGTATAAGTAAAGGAGAGTGGACACATCAGCGGTAGCTCTCGCAGAATATGCAGAGCGTCTTTCTGGCCCCATTCCTTAAACAATCAAAAAGAAAACTATTAATTCTTTCATGTCACTGCGTTTCATGACCTGTGCGGTTTTGCCGGCCGTGGCAAGAATGGGAATTATGGAGCACTTGGTTGTACTCATGAGAAAGCTTTACATAGACCAGGAGGCTATGGTTGGAACAGAGGAGGGGATCCTGCACGTGTAAGATCAGGAAGGCTGTGCGTCAGAGTTGTGTCCTTTCACCATACTTCTTCAGGATGTATATTAAGCCAGTTATCCTGCCATGTGCATATGTCACAATCTTGCAAGCTGAAAGTAAAGATGATTTGAAACACCTACTGGTGAATATTAAAGACTACTGGCTCGAGAAGTGACTGGAGGCTGTGTCTTTCTTCTGGAGGCACCATGGGCAGCAGGCAGTGAAGCCCTTCATTGAATCGGGATGGGAAACAGCAAGGTAATGACTATGGGAAACCTGCCAGACATCCTCTTCTCCCAGGCAGACTGCAGTGGTCAGGACTTGGAAAGGAATCCGATCAAGGAACAGGGGTCCACCTAAAACACATCTGATGTGCTTTGCCTAATGACAGGATGGCAAAAATCCCCTAAAGTCAAGTTTCCCTGAAGAGACTGAGGGGATCGACTCTGGACTGAGATGGGGATTTCAGGACTCTGAGGTTGGGGTTCTGCAGAGGGTTGGTGTTCTGGGTTTCATGCATAGTGAGAGTGGGCCTTGGACACAGATCTGAGTGCTCTATCCATCCCTATCCCTATCCATCCTTGAAGGAACAAAGTCACATTTGTGGCTCTCACCCACACTAATGGTCCATTGTTAATGTAGGTTTCCCTGGGACAATTGAGAAGATACAGGAAATAGAAAGGCAGCATAAAATCGCAATCTCATCATTGGACAGACAGTATCATTCTGATATTTGGGAACTTTGCGGGAGTCTTGTATCTGCTGAGGGACACATCCCAAGAGAGGTATTTGTGTCGTTATTTTTGTCACAGAGAGAAGAATTTGACATGAACTCCTGGCTTCTTGCTACCATCTTTCTCTCTAAGACCTTTCCCCTCAGAGTGGTAAACTCTAAAATGCCTTAAGTTCCATGGAGCTGGGAGATATTTGACATGGGCATGATCAATAGATATTTGAAATCTAGAGATCAAACATCTAACCTAAATGATGGATCTGTTAGGGACATACTCTTGGTACCATGATGGCGACTGTTCCCATATTTTGCCTCTTTTCCACATGAAGGTGTGGGAACGAGTTGTGTGACCCTAGATCCACTTCACTGCCT